GCGAGGCCGCGGCGTCCTGAAGGGGAGCGGGGGTGGGTAGCAGCTGCACCTGCGTTTTTCCCGACAGAACAAAACAAAATGTGGGAAAATGCCGCGGTTTGGTGTTAAAGGCTTCGAAACAGCCGCTGCCGACCTTGAGGCACCGCCGCGAGGCCGCTTCCCTGCCGGGGGTGAGTAGCGACGGGGCGCGCGGGGCTGAGGCGGGAGCCCCCCTCCCTGCTGGAAAACGCCCGGCTCGGGGCCGAGCTTCTGCCTTTCCCGTATTCGGCGTTGTTTATACTCAGCGTTTTAAGGCTAGCCACAACAACTAACCTGCTCAGCCTGATGCAGGCTCCAACAGCTGGGCTAAGTTATAGTCAGCTAAGAGCTGTATTTAATAAAAACCTAAAGTGGGGGAGTTTGGTGCGGTGGCAGCATCTACTGAGCCACCTGGGATAGGCTACGTCACTCAGACAAACAGCAGAGCTGCAGAAAAGCTGTCTGATAGCTTTTTATGTCAGACCATGCTCCTCTTTAAAGCAGTTAAAAAGCAGTTTAAGTTTCTGGTTCTGAAAATACTAGTAAGGATTACAAAAAAGTAAGTAATTATGCCCTTTTTTTGGTACTGTTGGCCTATGCCAATATGTTTAAGAAGGTAGGAATGCCTTACTTTTCCTTAAGCTTCATCTTCTTCTGAGTTATCAAGCAGACACCCCCGAAGGAATCAGAGGTGCCACTTCAAGATGGCAGACTGGGTTACTAAATAAGCTAAATCTTTTTAAAAAAACATAAAAAAAAGAACAACCAATATCAAACAAACCTCGGAAACTTTTCAGCTGATCTTCCTTAACCAACTGATTGATCCTTCCTATGAAAAAATAAATGTAGCTTGGTTAGTTCCTGTTACAACACCTTAAAGAAAGACATACACTTAATTATGAACATAAAACATGTCTCTGGCAGCCTCTGTAGGTGCTGTGTTGTTAAGAAAGAGTTTTATGATAACAGGCTGGACAATTTTTGGGTCAGTAAATTGAAGCAGCACATAAATTACGTGATCTGGAAAGTATGAGTTCAGTCAGATACATGAATTAAAGTAAATACTAGTTTGAATACAAAGTTAGATGTCTCAGCGCAATCCCGAAAATGTTACTTGATGACACAGGAAATGGAGAACTATTTTTTTTTTAATATATACTTTATTATTTGTAAATCTCATACATGTAAAGTACCGTAGTAAGGAGCACCTGTAGGAAAACCAAACCTAGAAGCATGCCTTAGAAAGTAAGGATTGTCTGTTACTAATGAAATAATTAAATATTAAAAATTAATAATGAAATATTTCAGACATTGAAAATGAGCCTCTTTTCTTAACTTTATAGGATCGTTCCATAAAAATGCACATTTACCTTATCACAGTACATACAAATAATGTGGATAGACAATAGAAATCACCACTGTTCCATATGTGATGCATCAAAACCAAAGTGTTACCCTTAACAATGGCTGAAACAGAAAAGGCACCGTAATAGGATGTTTAGAAAAAAACTCAATTTATGCCATTATATTTTGATTTGCAACTGTAAGAATTGCTGTCCTGGTTTAAAACAAAAAGCATTTGATACTTGTGAAGTATTATTAGAAATCTGTAAACCTTTACATTTTTGCCAGGAGTATCAGGTGCAAATGCAAGGCAAATATAAAATCTATTGACATATTTGATTACAAATACTACCTCATGAAAAAGCTGTAGTTATAAAAATATAAAAAAATATTCTAATTCCCACTGATAGATCTTAGCTTCAATCTACATTGTGTTACAAGTCCAAAACCAGATCTGATTTGGGCACATGCCTAGAATAGGAAAGTGCTGTTTTTCTTATTTTCCATCAGTATTCTGACCTCTTACTACATTTTTGCTATTCAGATTTGTTATGTTAGTGCGTATTAGGATGCAAAGTGGAGAGTGCTAGCTGACAAAAGGTGGTATTTACTGATGGATAGTAGCAACAGAAGCCTTCTCAGTGTGTCATCCTGCAAAGATAAAGGCTTTTTTTTTTTTTTTTTTCTCCAAGCCTCTAGAGTAGTAATTTTGTCTACCAGCAGACCATTTTCATTTATGAACCTTTGTCTACTGGCAGATGATTGAGAACTGCTAAATCCTTCAGTAAGAGTCTATGAGAAACTCACACCAACTTGCCAGTGCTGCTTCATAGGCTAGCAGCTGCCGCTGTAAGGATAGTTATTGGCAACATCTCTTATCTAAATAGTTTGGCATATGACTCTCTAGCCCTTGATTTTAGTAACAGGGATCAGCCTAAGATGCTGAACCAGCTATAGAGGAAGCCTAACAAAGTGCTAGTGGACAATAAAGAGTTTACTTTAAATAATAATTTAAAATCAGTGAATTGATTTAATGATATAATGAAGAATCTTGGTAAAATACTAAGCCTAAGCCTGAAGAATGTTAATGTTCTCATGGCTGGAAGCTCTGTTTATTCCGTCCTTTACCCTAGCAGAAGGTATCCAACTATCCAACTTCAGTTCTAGCAAGGCAGAAGTTTTCTTCCTCTGTGCAGGGAAAATAACATAGATAGTAGAATAACACAGGTGTTCTCTTAGGTAGGAAACTGACCGAACTGAGTTCTCAGACCATTCAGCCAACAATATGAGTGTGGAAAATTTAAAAGTGAGGTGTAATATTGTCATCTTTATGCTAGGTGTATGACACTTTTCTTTTAAATACATCTTTTTCTTCATTAGAGACCACCCCCCCAGGATTTCTTCTGATAACATTTGTTAGTTGTTGCCAATTCAAGTTGGATTTAAGGCAGCAAAGTCTTTTAATCATGTGGTTCTGAACAGCTGCTCTCCACTTGATAAAGTGATAAAACAGTATTTTATTTGACCTTATTTGAAATGATCATTAATAATCATATATTCTTTGAGATTAGTAGTTTATTAGTTCCATGTATGTAAAAGATGTGAATGAACTGGAGACTCAGTGGCTTTGTTGTTTGCCAACTGGAGTTGTTAAGAAGTGTTTATCTTATGCTGGCAGAATCAGTGCTGAATAGCTCAAGAGTAAGAAGAACTAGTGTTTCTCATTATTTTTCAAATTCATAAAACTAGGGTTCAGAAAGATACCATGTTCACTCCTTTTCTGAACAAAACTCTGTATTTTACTCAAATTATACTGCACTGGCAGGACTTTTTTTTTTAATAGAAGTTTGAAGATATTCCAACACATCTGCCAAAGATGTGCTCTAAACAATTTTTTTTAAATAAACATGCTGTACCTACATGTGTTCTCTGTTTTGATAAACACTACATACGTAAACGAACAAAAAAAAGAAACCAAACAATACATAGGCCTTTGTGTTTTTTTAGTAGAATGTTGACAAGCATGTTCCTAGCTAAACAATTACCCCAGCATTTCTGTTTCATAAAAGACCATAACAGTAGTATTTTTCATAAGCTTCCTTCTCCCAACTATTGAGCCAGAACCTCAAGAACGTAACTTCCAGTCAAGGCACAAAATCATTTACTATCTCTTCCACCGCTTTCTTCACATTCTCCCCTTTCCCTTAAAAAAGAAAGGTGTAACAATGTCTTCTATATCAGACATTAAACTTAATTGTCCAGTAACTTGTAGCAGTATCTGAGATAGGTTCTATCTATTTTGAACTGAGTTAAATTACATGAACAGCACATTCTCAGTACATCTTTGTTCATTTTCTGCATTCACCTTCAAGGGAAGGGGATGGTAGGAAAAAGCCACAGCACTTTCAAGCGTATTTTTCAAGAAACTTTATGTGGAAGTCTTTCACTTTCTCCAATAAGATCTTCAGTTTTTCTACTGGAGGAAGAATGGTTATTCTGAAAAATAATTTTTAGAAAGAAAGAAAGAAAGAAAAAAAAAAAGTCTATATTATCTTCAGAATAAATTAAAATGAGATCTTTCCATAGATGTGGATTTACTTTCAGGGTTAGTTACTTATGTGTTAAGTTTAATTCCTGCTTTAATGCAATTGTCTTATTTTTATGCATTTATGGTCTAATTGAACTATATTACTAATCTGTAACATTTGGTTTCAAATGACAAGGTATTCAGGTATTCAAAAATACATTTTTGTTGAGTGGTAAAAAGGATATCTGTAAGAAATCTCTGCAAGTCAGTGTCCATTTTCGGGACCGCTATGCCAATTAATATTCAGTTTTGTGGTCTTCAGGTGCCAGTTATGAGTAAATGTCTTACTGAATTGAAAATAGAAATTGCAAATTTTTGATCTTTTTTTTTCCTTCTTCACTATGATTTGAAAATCAAATTGAGTTATCAGACTGCAAGAGCTAAAGGTAGTGAGATGCAAACAAAACATGTTTTTTTTTTTTGCACTGATGTTATTTCTGGTCTTGCATGCATTTAGTAGGAGAAGATGGATACAAATGTTTTTCCTGGAGTGGCCTGTGCCCAGATACCTACCCCAGCTATCTGTGTTGCAGAACAAGCCTAACTAAAGCTAACTTCTGTTCTGTTACTTCAGACTAAATAAGACTGAGTTCTCTGATAAATTCCGCTATCAGTGGCTCAGCTGGAATACAGTGCTACTTACTGAGCTTATGTGCATAGTTTGGGTAATCAGAAAGTTTTGTCCAACTTATTGTTTTGGTAAAGTGAAGAAAAGCTGTTTGGCATATGCAAGGAGCATACGCAAGCAAGAGCAAGATCATAGCAGAAGATATTGCAGCTGTCACACAATTTCTCTACATGAAAACCCTGATTAACTTGCCTGTTTGGAGAAAACAGGGCAATTTTTTTGAGGCCTTGGTCAACTTTAAATATTAGAATATAAGCTATTATTGTTGTTTGCATTTGTGGAGAAGACACAAACATCAAAGAATAAAAATAGAAGAAAATTTTGTTGGCAAGCTGGGAAAACACCATATAAACCTGAATAGCTCATCAAGCAGAACGAATCATCTGCCTCACTTTTTTTAGACCCACAAAATATATTCAGTAGAAAGTGAATATTGAATAAAAGTGTTTTTTTTTAATCTTATATTTAATCAGAAAATAAAGTACTAGGAACTGAGCTTATTATAGCTCAGTTGATTTTAGTAAATAGAACCTGTACCTGAAATGGTAGCTTCCTTCCCTTTGCCCAAATCCACTTCCAGGCACAGCACAGATTCCAGTCTCTTCTAGAAGTTTCATGCAATATAACATGTCAGGTGCCGTTTTATGAGCCTAAGGAATAGATATCAACTTTGTAATTACTGAAGTCAAAATAATTCAAATATATATAATTCCATGATGGCTTTTCTTCTTAAACCTTTTTCTTGCTAGTTCTTACTATTTTTTTCTTCTTCTTCTTCTTCACTAAATAGATGAAGAGCAACTCCTGATGGTTCCTGTCACGAATTAAATAGCACTAGTTCATGGGGATGAAGAACCTTTGCTTCAAAGCGAAGTTTTTAGATGTTTAGATGTTTTTATTATTCTCCTTGACTGACTTGTAGCCAAAAATCTCAAAATTCTATATTCCAAAATCTAAGCCCCTGTAATATAATTTTGAATTCGAGAGGTGTGCTCTAGTTTTGTTCCCCTGAAGCACCTTGCTGGTTAGAAAGTCCCCTGATTATTAACTTTTGTTCCCTCCATTTTTTTTGTTTTGTTTGTTTGTTTGTTTTTTGCTGTTGTTGTGTTTTTGATGTTGTTGTTTGTTTGTTTTTTAAAAGGTTATACATTAGGTCATAGAGCTCCAGGTAGGAACTGAAAGACTTGTCATGTGGGGATACATTTTACCAATCCAAATATGAAAAAGGTATTTTAAAGAACTAAAATCTGTAAGCAAACCTCCTCGTTGCTTGCTGAATGTGCTTCTCTCGCAGGGGTGTTGCACACAAACGTTTCAATCCCAGTCAATGTCCTGCCTCACCAAACTGGAGTAGGGGCAACAGTTTCAGCCACCTGTTCATCCTATGACTCAATCTCATTAACAGAACCTCCTTGATTAACGTTTTCAGCCTAGAAGCCTCACTAATGTGTTGAAATGTTCTTTTTTTTTTTTTTTTTGCTTTCCTCCCTTTAAGTAAAGGTCATATTACATTTAAGATCATACATAGTGAGTGAAGTGCTGCTTTTTTAACTGCATGAGTTTACTTTGTCCGGAATAGAAATTCATCATGAAAAGTGTCAGGCACAAATGTGTGAAGATTAGAATGCAATGGGGAAAAAAATGACTGACTGACTGACCTTTGCTTCCTCAATGGCTTTGGAAGGGATAAAGATCTGTGGGAAAGCATACATAGCTCCTTGAAGGGGATTGCAGTGAATTCCAGGTATCTTGTTGAGCATGTCTTCTGTTATTTTAGCCTTTTGGGCAAGATTGTTCAAGACAGACTCCTTTTCCTGTTAAAAAGGAAGGTGAGATTAACTAACTTGAAGTAGCCACAAAATTGCCAGAGAAAACTATGATGTCTCAAGAAGCCTACCTAGAATTAAGCACTTTCAGGGCTTTGCTGAGCTTTTAGAGCAAATGGTTTTATCTAAGTTCAGTGCAGTTGACCTTACATTCCTACTTAGATTTTAGTCAAAGCAAATCTAATCTATTTTCATGCTAAACGTAGAAGAAAAGCTAAACTTAGCATCGATAAAGCTGGTCTGATAATGCCGCCTTAGCTTTTTGGGGCCACTAAATGAACCGTAAAAAGAATAAGACATATTTTTAAAGGTAGTCATATTGAGTTAATTTAAAATACACTTTATAATTCTGTAAACTGGCGCTCTTACGGGATTCTCCAAGAAGAGAGAAAAAAGTCTCTGTGCACATACTGAGTTCACAATATTTAGCACAGGTTTAGGAGATGCATCAAGGAACAAGTGTGTTATAGCTGACCTTTATGAACTGTGAATAAGACTCTTCTCCAGGTACTGGAGGATTCACTACAACATCCATTGCTGCTTGTCCTGAGACCGGAGGACAAAGACGAACAGAAAGAAGTTTAACGAGCTGTCCTTTAATTGCTGGATGCAAGTTAATGACCTCCATATAACCTCCTCTGTAGCCACATCTATGATTAGAATGAGCAGAAAAGATCAGTTAACCTGGAGTAATAAATATTGGAAAAATAATGAAAAAAACTGCAAATGTGGAAAGACAATTAATGAGATGTTGCAATATGTAACACATAGGTTGTTAAAACAATTGTTTTAAGATAGAACTAAATACTGTGCCATTAAATCCTAATATCCCATATGGAGAAAATAGTGCACATGCACCTCCCTGATAGACAAGGTAATGATTAACTTGGATTGTTTGCTCTTCAGAACAAGAGGATATGTCTGTAGTAGAGTTCACTTAATCAGAAAATTTTTCCTTCTATCTCCTCCCCCCTACAAAACAACCAAGCCCAAACATTTGTAACATTAAACTTCCCAGTGATTTGGGGGCCTCCACTTAGCTATAGGAGGCCACATCACAGGTCTCGTTTAGACCTGTAAGATTGCAGCTTCATGGAAATGAGGTGTTAGATGTCTGAAAAAAATACATTTGTTGCATTATTCAGTGATTTGAAAGCAAATGAAAACTTCCATGTGCTTTGTTTATTATTTTATTACCTAATATTTTTTTAGTTCAAATTAACAGAGGACAGTGAATTACCTTCAGGTCAGTAACATGAGAGGGATACCCAACCAGATTAATGAGGAAGGTGAAATTCAAAACAAAACAAAAACCAGACTTACTCGCCCATGTAGCCCTTGGAGGTGGAGTGAAAAGAAGCTAGCTCAACATTGTTGTAGTACTCGGGCCCCATCTCATACAGAATCTTTTTGAAAGAATGAAACTGGCATCCTTCAGAGTACACATTGTCCTGGTAAACCTGAACAGTCAGAAGGCATTACTGTACTCCGTTCCCCAGCTGGGGATAAAAGATGGCCTTTTAGAGAGTCATCGCTGAAGAAACAGTATTAACGCTTAAAGCATTTAGAAGACACAAGGTTCTTTAAGTAGTTGTTATAATGATACACTTTTATCTCATGTGGTTTACTGAAGAGTTTGGCCTTTGAAAGAGCAGTGAACTTCTTACATAAACTAACCTTTACTTATAATTTAATTGATTTTTTTTCCTTCAGTTTCATTCAATTTAAGTAATCTAAATAGCATGTAGGTTTTTAGGTCAGTTACAGCCAAATTTTCTTTTTGTGTCTTGACTAAAGAAACACTTTAGTTCAAGTCTAGATCAAGCCTCCTGTCATATTAATCCTGTTTGCATTTCTGTTCATGTGTTAATATGATGACAGAGAATGGTTCCCTGTACTTAAAAACATTGCCACACATGGGAAAAACTTACACCTCATGCATTACCTCATCAGCCAGAAGAAAAAGTTTCTCTTCCCAAGCAAAGTGTATTACATCTTCAATGCACTTCCTGTTTTGCACTTGTCCTATAGTTTGTTTTTTAAAGCAAGAGGAACAAAAGTTAGAGAATAGATAGAAATCTTAAGTGGATACAAATCTTCTTAATCTGAATTAGACTACTAGTTGTTCAGTAAGATCCCCCTCTTTCTCAGAAAAGAGCTACTGAATTTTAGAACGCAATTCAGTACAGCAGTGTGAAAGTAAGGAGCATTCTTGCAGGAATTATGGATCAAGGTAAATCAAGTAATTCAAGCAAAATGAGTGTGAGAAACCATAATTAATCATTAGCTTAAAAATATCTATTTAACCAAAGTGCTGCAGACCTGTGGGATTTCCTGGGTTGATTATACAGAGGACTTTTGGATTGCAATATGTCTTAGCTTCATTCAAGGCACGGCGAAGTTCATTCACATCTAGTGCCCAGCATTTTTCTTCATTCAAGTAGTAGTTCACCTGGATGGCATCTAGGTCAAATATGGCCGCTGAATATAAGGGATATTGTGGTATAGGGATCATCACTCCTGTTCGGGATTTCCCACCACCTGAGACCAGGATCTTTAAAATTGACTGGAGAAAAAGTAGGGAGGAATTAAAAAAAAAAAAAAAAGAGTCACACAGACCAGAAGTAATAGTAAGCTCTAGAAAAAGTTACTGATCTTTATTGCTAAAAAAATGCATAATATATTTCTATTCTAGAAGCATATAGTCGTTTTTCTTATGTCAAATGAGCTACTAACTGATAGAGAATCACCTAACTCAGTTTAATGAGCTTCCTCTGCAGATCACAGCATCTGAAGATCATTTCTGATTAACTGCTATATTTGGGAAAAAAATTAGCTCAAGACTAGAGGGAAGGTTGGAAACAGGAATATCAAAATCACAATTTTCTGCTCTGCCTCACTGGAGTTTGTAAGTCAAGAAACCTCAGCTAGCTGTTGCTCAGTACTCTCTTTATCCCACTAAGCACAAGAGGCCAATAATAAAAACAGAAATAAGAGCAGGAGCACATGGAGGCAGGCCTGTTGCAGATTAGGAGCAAGAGTGGTTCACTTGTGGGCAGCCCAGAGGACTTACCTCTGCCCAGGGGGTGGTCTGTGTGTGTTTGTGTCCGTGTGTAGAGTTTTTAAATGTGAATTAGATAGTGGATTTTGTGCAGTAAGTAGAGAGATTTCTTGCCTTTATGATCAAGGGAGAATTCTGAAGGACAGATGCAATTAAAGAAGGCATCTTTATCAACATCTGATTGATAGTGAAAAATGAAAAATGATGCTTGAGATGTAACAGCAATATGCTCTAAAAATCTGCCTTTCTGGGCCTCTATCACATGCTACTTCAGATGCTAAGCTAATTACCTACAAGCTAAATCATCATTTTATACCTACCATGAGTTTAAAATACCTAGCATCCAAAAAAGTGTAATCAGGGTTAAATGCAAATTTTAAAAGTCCTTAACACTGTCCCTTCCCAAGTTTTGAATGAATTGTTCTATCCTTAGAAATACCAAATAATGAGACTCAGAACATTGCTGGCAAAGTCAGATAAGAGTAGTACAGACTTGATATGCTGCACTGCCATTCCTGACAAGCTGCCAGCGTAGCCCTTGGCATCACAAACTCTGGAAATCCCCTTCACCAAAGAGATGAAGCTGTTCATATCAGAACATTGTCATTCTGAACCCTGCCACTAGATGTCATTTAAAAAGTGTTTTACAAATAAGCTATAAAAGGCTGCATTAATAAAAGCAAAGAACATACTGGTTATTGCAATGTCTGGAAATATATCTGTGCCAAGGAGAAATATAAGAGACTGCTTTTTCTCTCAGTTGGGGACCATCTTTGAACCTTGGTTAAAGCCAAAACTTTTAAAGTCCCCCCCACTTCAAATTAGCTGGCTATGGAAATCAGTCTTTGGGATTTCTGTCAGCATCAACCCGCATTAGCAGGCAGTTTACTGGAAGAACTCCTGTAACTTCTCCCTTTCAAGGCCGTTCCCCCTTCTTTCTCCCAGTGATTCATACTCTCAAGGCTTCAGTGCTTAAGCATCTTAGCTACTGAGGGCACAGCATGAATGGTCTGAGTCTCCTAAATGTATATTTTGGTGCCTATGTCGTCTGTACTACGTATACAAAAAAAATACTATGTGTAAAAATACTTTGTGTCTACAGGCCTGTTTCTAAGCTAGTTTCACATATCCACATAATTGGATATCCACTTAACATGACTTCAGTATCTGTTAGATCAAGCTCAAAGGAGCCCATGAGGCCAGAGATACAAAAAAAAGATCTGTATTTTCTAGGTAACTAGTTTAGTTATAGTTCATACGAAGCAGCTATAGATTTAATTTTAACACTTACAGTAATACCATCGCTTGCCCCAGTGGTAAGATATATGTTATCTGGATCTGCAGGAACTCCTCCATCTCTTCTTTCAATATATGAAGCAACATCTTCACGGATGCAATTTATACCTTGACTGGCAGTGTAAGATCCTGTGAAGTATAGAATATGCTGTAACTAAGAACAATGCATATCAGATTTGCAGTATGCTAGGAAAATTTCTGAGCTAGTAGTGTATGAAGAAGTTGAGTGTACGTATATATAAATATATACATATACATATATATATATATGAAAGCTTTGCATCCCCAGGACTGGTGTGTGGGGTTTTGTTGTTGTTGTTTTGGGATTTTTTGTGTTTTGTTTGTTTGTTTTTTCTCAAGGTGTAGGAAAAGAAAGTGGGTTTTTCACAGCACTGCAGAAAATAATTCATTTGTGATTAGGCAAGTATAATAAGTATAACTGAAATACAAAGTAAGTAAAGATTGGTAAAAAAGGGTTTAAGGTCTGCTTTGCAAAATGGGACAGCAATCCCATTTTGACTATCTTTCAGTCACTTTGTTGTGATTTCAATAATCTACCTGAGAAAGGCAACCTGCTTGAAACTGATTAAGTAACAGGAGCAAGGAACTCCTGTTAAGGAACAGGAGCAAAGGTAAATAACTTTTTAAAAATGCATGACAAAAAGATTATTTCTATTTGCAATATAAAAAGCATAGAACACCATTTCCTCCCACAGTCTGAGAAACGAACAAAAAACCCCTTAAGCTGCTTCCTTCTCCCCCCACATCATTTGGCACAACTGCTTTTCAGTTAGTTGCAGCAGAAACATCTAGTGTAACCCATCAGTATACAAGCTCATGTGAAGTTTACAGAGCACAACTAGTAATCTTTAATGAAGTAAGTGCTAGATGCCTGTGTGCACCATTGCTGAACATACACAAAAATTAAAGAGCCTGAGACAAGGTGAGAAATGGATTCAAGCTACAAAACCCCAAACTGAGGAACAGTGAAGTGACAAGTCTACGTTGAATTTAGAACACTGTCGTGAAGCTACATGATCTTCTTTGCTTGCTGGGTGGAGTGGAATAATTGTAGTGACTTAACTTTCAGAACTCAGTTATGTGTTGGTCGTCAGCCTGATAACAGAGTTGCTCTACCTCTGCAGCAGCATAATCTATAAAGACAAAGAACCTTTGTAAGAAGTGCACAGTTGCATGCGTGAAGTTCCCTGATGTCCCGAAAATTTACCTCCACAGGACTAAAAGGTATGTTGGGCCTATACATGGATGTGGACCAGTGCTAAAAAGCTGCTGTTAGACCAGAGAGCAAACCTAAGCAGTCATTTTGCTTTGGGCTCCTTTGAGGGCTGTAGAAATTTTGGTAGTCTTAGTCTAAATACAGAATTTTAAAAGCATAGGCCCTGTAATGACTTCAGTATGAAAGTATCTTCCTTATAGATAGAGAGATTTTAACTCATTCTTGACTCTTACACCAAGCAGCAAACTTCTTCATAATTATAGTATGTAAAGATGATATGGAAGGTAAAACTTCTAATGTAGACAGCCTGACAGCAGGATTTTTAGAAACCGTATTATCTGTGTCTGCTGTAAACGCAGAAACATCTGTGTTGCATTGCCAAATTTGGGAGGAAAACAGACTTTCTTAGAACGTGGCACAGCCCTTAAGGCTACATGGATGATTTTTTGATCCTTGCTTTCCTAAGAGTACCAATTTATCCTTCACGGCCATTCAGAGAACAGCAATAAGTTAGATACCAAAATATCAGCAGGCTGATAGAAATAACTTCCATTCAGCTGTACATCCAACTATGTCAAATGTGTCTGGTGGAGAGCTGTATAATACAGAGATCAGCTACTGTATTAAGAAAAATGGCTAATTTTGGGCACTGAAAACATGAGGGGTAGAGAGAAGGCATAAACCAGTAGAACAGATGAAAAAAGTCATCAGTGTTTGTAGTTCTCAGAAATTTAGAGGGACAGTTACTCTTTGGAACTTACTGTATCAGGAAAAAAATCTGAAATCAAGCGACTGTATTCAGAAGATAGCCTTGTTTGAATATTAAGACTACTTCAGGCCTGCTTTCTCCATGCCTACTGAGCTAATGCAAATTATTTGAAATGTGTGGTCTGCTGAAAAAGGGATTTTGTACAGAATCAACATATTTCTGAAATATTATCCAAGGCTGAATTCCTTTCATTTCATTACAGAAGGTTGGGACCAAGACCAGCACTTTGAGAACTCTCATTGTGTCCCGGCAAGTACCATGAATTTAAAAAGCACTACACAGAAAGATGGAGGCAAAACTCAAATGAATCCCCAGTAACTCTCACATGCCAACAAGTACTGTGTTGATTGATTGCTCCAGGAGTATATGCAAGGGATTGAAATGTCTTGTGGATTGCAAAACCAAACCGCACATTTCCCAACCTTTTCTTCATACGTATGCACACACACACACGCACACACATATATACATCTATATATGCTGTACAGACAAATCAGTTTTGTCCATAGTCTGCAATATGCATTATATAGCATTGCATGTGTTATAAATGTACCTTTAGGCATCTTCAGGTATCTAGCTTTCAGTAGTTTTTAGCATCTATAAATGAGGGCGGTTGCTGCCAAAGAGAGTTTTACATCCCTTTCTCTAGCAACCTTTTGTCTGATACACTGATCTTTATTAAAATCCTACATAAATTCTGCCTGTCATAAATTTCCTAAAATTAAACTAGAACAGTATTTCAAAGAGCTGGAACAACTTCTCTATTTTGGTAACTGCATTTTTAAGTTCTACCTATAGAAACAAAATCAATGCAAAAAAAAAAAATTCTGTAGTAGCCTGTGTTGCTAGGAATATTCCAAAGCCGAGAGACTGTTAATGCAACTACTGTTTAGTAGTTTTCCGTTTTTAATGAAGTTTCACAGCACCTTCTCTCAAAATATGCCAAGGTAAATAGACACTGCAATCACAAAGATTGAGAGAGATGTCAGTTATTCTGAAATGTCCTCTGAAATGTCACAGTTAGCCTCTCCGTGTACCTGAAAGAGGGTAATTAAGTGTGCCAGATTCTTTGCTGTATCCTGTGGCTGCAACACTCTTTAAAGTAGAAATTCTAGTGTCTTTTTTCAGATACACATGAATAGCCCAGTTGCTGGGTGACCAAAAATAAAGAAGAGAGGAGACAACTTCAGTATTTTCTCTCCATTGAGTATGCAAAGCTTGTATTTACTTATGTGCACGTGTGTGCGTATCCTGCTGCAGGAACAGCCGTTGCAGAACTGAATCGTTTCAGGGGTTATTTTGCTTTGGAGAAGTAGGGCTTTGACATCTTCAGTTAAAACTATCCGGACTAAAGTAAAAAGCTACCAGCTTTCAGCTGTTTGCTTTTTTCTCTGCAAGGTATTATCACTTCCATACCTGGGGCAATAAAACAGCGTGTCTAATGTAATTTCAGACACCCCAGCTCATAGCCTGGTAAACATATTTTGACTGATGGTTTAAAATTAAGATGGATCAGCTGAGATGGACATACGCTGTTTGTTATCATAGATATAGAGATAGTGGACTCCTTGGCAAAGAAGGAGGGAATATCTAGAGATGATAAAACAGTGAACAGTCTCACCTAATCTAGCAGGAGACATGTCTGTCAGACTCCAGGATTAACAGATGTCATAATCAATAGCAATGAATTGATAGGAATGAATCAATAGTGATGAATAGAAATATTTATGTGAATATAGTACTCTGTGCCACTTATCTAATACAAACAGCTCACAGTTCTGTTTATGGCTATGTCTAGATACTGGTGTGGTGAGGGCTCCGTAGCTGTACGCATCTTGAACTCCTAGTTCCAAAGTTCATCAAAAATTTGTACTATTAATCATCCCTTATCAGTAGGCCACACTATGAATCTCCCCCTACCATTTTGCCATAGGCCATTTGACTTGTAACCATATAAATGCCAACTGGGAAATTTCAGCACTGCGCATTATCAAACTATATTAGTTGATTCTATTACAAATAAGATTGACTGAAACAGAGGCTTACCTAAGCTGTTTCCTCCACAGCCCTGCAAGATCCGCCTCGCTCGCTTTTTGGCATCTTCTGGAAAACTGGGGCTGTCCAGCAGGTTTGGGTAAGTACACAGCGCCACTACCTAGATTGCCAAGAAAACTATGTAAATTGGCCACTGCTCAATGGTCGTTTTAAGCTGATAATATTAATGTTAACTGTTATTGGAAATTAAGATCATGATTAGTAGCTAATTCAAAACAAAGATTATTGATGAACAGTTTGCAGGGTGTTTTTTTATTTTGTATTGTGTTAAGGGTAGTGCTTGCAGAAGCAAAGAATTATTACCAGGTTCTAAGTTCTGTTGACAATAGCAGTTATAGAAATATTAACTATTTGTATTACAGATGGTAAAGACTGGAATCCAATTGAGCTATGCATAGTGCAAACACAGTAACAAGGAGTTAGTAATACAGAGGAGGAACTGTCTAAACAGCTCCATCCTCCATTCATGGTGTATTGTTAGCTCACTTCCTTGTCAAGAGATCAAGGATTAAAGTATGGAGCAGAACTGAGAATTATGATCATATTTTAAAATCCTGGTTGCATGTCCTAATCTCTCTCCCGAGTAACTTCTTGTTCTTATCAATTTTATGCTGTGAGAAATATTTAATTTAAAAAAGAAGAAAAAAATGGTGATTAAAAACATAGCAAAAGGAGAAATATGACCTAGCAGAAATAAATTTATGAAGCAATAGGAGCCACAAAGAAAAGAATCTGGAGACATTGTTAGAAATCAGCTTCAGTTGGCTCTAATCTCTGTCTCATTTTTATGCTTGCTCATTTTTGTGGGGGAAGGCGACTAAAGAATTAATCTGTGTGCACATTGGATCTGAACATCTGAATTAATTTATGAGAAACTTTGCTCTTTATAGTTCACTAACAAAATTTGCTATATGGCTCAATTTTCTGATCTCATAATCTAGATCTTTATAACTCCCAGTTTGTCATGACTTTTGGCTGTGTTGAAACTCTCTTCAGTTATACTCAGGATTTTACATGTGTGTCTAAGGCATACTCAGTAACTAGTGCAGTATTAGTTTTAAAACTTGCTTGTTTAGGAATAAACATACAAAGGTGGATTCTGTTGCTCTCTTCCTTCGAAAAGGTTAATCTACAAATTAGCTTTCCCAGAGGTGAAATGCACAAAGCTAGAAGCAGTACAACTAGCTGCACCCACTGCCTGCATGCAGACCTTAAAGGATGCTGTCAAACTAAGAAAGCGGTTTGGTTTTTACCTTAATCATGACCCCTTTCTGTTTTGAATCTGCATTATTGATAAAAAATGTGCTGGCTCATAATATAGAGGTGATGGGGGAAGGAGGAGCGGGAATGATCTGAAGAGCAAAGAGGGAGAATTACTACGTTTAGAAAGGGGGTGGAGCAAGCAAGTTACAGGAGTTCAATGCAATCAAAACTTGCCATTCTTTATGAAAGGATAATTTTAAGTCTAAATTAATCTAAGGAACCATTCATATGAATACACAAATCAAACTCATTATAAGGTTTTCTTGGTAGTGTAATATAAAAATCTTAACTAACTGGGGAATATGTTAGTCACAAACTACTGCAGCAAGTCAGTGTCTCTGAACACAGTAACTTCTAAATGCTGTAAGAACTAGAAATAATGTAATATCCTTACCTGACGAAGGAAGGTGATGGGCCTCTGTCCCATTGCATGTGCATCTCCAATGTTGGCTTTAATTACTTCAGTAAAAGGTTTTTTGATTCCCTAAAAAGAAATCATTCACAATGTACTGTTTGTGCTGAACTAGGAAAAAAACAATTCCTCTTTTTTTGGTATCTATTAAATAGCTATTACCAACCAAGGCATAGCCTCAGCACAGCTAGAATATTCTAGTAAAGCGTAATGCATTTCTTATACAATACTGGCAGTACATTTTGATGCTTTCCAGAAATCCTGCAGACTATGACACATTTTTAAATGAGCCTTTTCTTTTTTTTTCCCTGCTAGCTACAAATGAGAGATTGACTTGCCTGGAAATTATACATGTGAAGTAGACAAGATGAAAGAAACTCATTTTGAATTGTCAGTATTAAAGCAGCTTGTTTGATACACCTGAGAGAGGGAGGGACGAACAAAGAAGGCAAAAACACTTTTGAACATTTGAACATTTGAACATTTGAGAACATTTGAGAGATCTAACAACAAAAGAAGCCTCAAAACTTTTAAATTCTTTTTAGAGTTTGTTTATTCACTGTTTGCATATTTTCTGACTATATGAAATGTTTATTATGTAATGACCCTACTTTTACACATACAGATCTTTTACAGAGCCTGTCATACTGAGGTTTCGTATGGTAAACAGAAGTGCTAAATAATCTCCCATGAATACTTAAAGGTTTCTTAATCTGTTAAGCCTAAAGAGGCAGCTGTTTTTCCTGTGAGGAACTGAATACATTATGAGAACAGAGAGGAATCAGTTGAAGAATGTTGATTAGCAATCACAACTCTTTAGAAAGGAAAACAAAACAGGAGGAAAAGTTAAGGAACTGCCAGGTTGAAAAAAAATGATTTAAATAAGAAAGATTGTCTGAATGTAAAAGCCAACATTACAAGAAGAATAAATGAGCTAGGTAAAGGCAAATTTGTAGCTTTTAGAGGTTAAGTATAAGAGATTGCAGGAGAGCCTTCTAACAGTGATACAGTATTTTCATATGTATTATAACCTGGAAATGGTAGTTTTCTGTACAGAAAAGTACATTAAGGCAAGATTTATTTCACTGCAGAAGACTAAGGAGTCTTTAAACAAGTCAGTGACACACGTGTGCTCTGAGACCATTTTAGTCCCTTGCAAGCAAGAAAACATACGGGGGAAGCTAGGCCACTGGGATTGTTGCTTTCTCCTAATGATGAAGATGTTTCCACTCTCTCTATATGTTTCTATGTCTGTACCTGTATCTATGTGTGTATGTAAAGAGCTCATTTGTAATTTCTGTGGCAGTGCTCTGGAGGCAAACTGACTGGATTGGGACAGGCCTGCACCTGTGGTGTTCCTAAGCAGGCAGAGATCTGGGAAGGAGGAAGCTTGCAGGACAGGAACCCTGGTAACAAGCTCTGGAGCAGTAAGTGCCAAATCGATAGTCATGTGTACTGAGGAGGCTGAGAGCCACATCAAGGAGAACAAAAGAATTCCCAGCCCTACAAAACAGCCACTCACTCCCATAGGCTTCTGGCTTCGGTGGTGCCATACACTGTCTTTAACAGCATGTTTTGTCTTTATCTTGGGAACAAAACCAATCTCCTGCCATTCCTTTGAAACTATTAGCAAAGGAAATAACTGTGATACTCATTTTTTAAGCTAAAGATGAGACACACATTTGTGCTTTCCAATTAGGATGTATAGTAGGAAATATAAAAATTCATTAAATATTTTTAGTTGCTCTCTTCTTGAGAAAAAAGGGCTTTGATAGCATAATGGAATCCTCCTAGTTTTGGAATCGTCCCTTTTTAAATTTGTTCCTTCTGCAGTTACTGCTGCTATCCTCTTTTTCTCAGAGGAACTGCAGTCTTTTATGTGAAATGGAAGGCCTCAGAAACCTGAAGCAAGTCAGGCAAGATTATTCTAACAACTGTATCAGTGTTATAGGCACTGGAAGATACAGAATTTTCATATGTGAACCATTTTCATATGTGTGTGGTTAATACAAATCTCGATGCAGTTAATCAGGTTTGGAGAACTCAGACATTCCCTATTGCCTTAAGAAAACCAGTGGGTAAGGAGCAGGGAGCAGTGTGAAATGATGAGCAGTCTCTCACAGAGTGGGTCCCTGCCCAAGCAGCCTTGTAAGAGTTGTTTGACCTAAGGAGCCATATGATACCGGAATGTGCAATATCCCAGGCAAAGAAGCAACATGAAGGTGCTGTCCTGCCAGCAGCTTGTTTGGCTCTTAGGAATTTTAGTCAGCCTGCAGGTTTCCATTTATAATGGTAATATCTAAGAATGATGAGAAGTTACAAAGTAACACTGTGCCAGAAAGAGCAGGTAAGTGCCCAAGCTGATGACTTGTGTTTGCTAAAGTCTTCGGGAAATTTCAAAGAAAAATCCTGAGTTTGTATGCAGGCTTGTGTTATTTGGATTTGGGTAGAGATTTGATAACAGTTCCCTTGAGGAGGCCATGAAAATGCAAGATGCTTTTAAACACAAAAATGCAACACAATATTTCATCTGTTTCTGCATTTCAGCTCAGTCCTGGCTGTTCCTCACTGTTTCACTTTCATTGCCTTTTCTTTGTGCCTCCTCTCAAAGCTTATCTGGCTAAAACATCACACTTCAAAACAATTTCCCTAGCATAAGCCAGGCCTGAGGTTTGCCACAGCTTGCATTAACAAGCTCTATAATAAGAGAGCTGGCAAAAACAAACATTTCAGCATAGCTGAAATACATGCTATAGTAGCCAGGTTGCTTATTTGCTTCTCCCCACCCCTTAAAAGCTCAAGAAAACACGTCCTGGAGGCCCTTAACTAATAGAGACATGAAGGCCTGAATTAGCAATCCAATCTTTTTATTAAACCAGCTAACGGCAGCAGAATCAACCTGACCTGCTTACCGCAGAACGAGGCTTTGAGTTTGTGTTATGAATGCGCAATTCAAGCTGACATGAACTGTTGCTGAGAGGAAGGAGAAAGCAAATTCAGGATTTTGACTTGAAATAGCAGTGATGCCTCTCATGCTCTCTAGTATTGGATGAGAAAATCCATGGGGCTCATCATTATCGGTAGATCTCATTCAGGGATTACAAAACAGGAGGTGTCCTCAAGTCACTTCTGCTGTCTTATACACTGTTCAAAATGTACCTTCAGAAATGTGCCTATATGAATAAAACCCTACATTTTAGTATTACTGGGAATGACAGGAACAACCATTCTGTCTTAATGACAGGAACAACCATTCTGTCTTAATGAGGTCACAAGCTCTTGCCTGGGAGGTACTTTTTAACTGTGCACTCTGTCACGTATTCAAAGCAGAAAATTTTAGGATGGCAACTTATGCTTCAATGTTTCATTAGTGGGCATGCCAGTCAATCATGTGCTATTTCTTTTTGATATATCACGTTATATTTCTGCATGTCATTGTCTAAGTTATGCTATATCTTTCCACAGATCTGAGGGACACATTTACAAGCTTGAATTCTAAGAAAGAAATCTTACTATAAAACTTAAAAGTCTGCAGAATTAGTGAACAATCTCTACTATCTTTTAACCCAAATACTCTGGCAGAGGAAGCTTAAAGTTATTGCAATTTAAGTAAGAGGGATTTTGTAGTTTTATTATGTAAACAGAGGAATGAAGGGAATAAAGAAAAAAAATGGATTTAGAGTCAGTTGCATCAATGTAACATGAATAAAGAAATTCATTTGTGCACCTTATGTGATTTTGGAGTTATAACTTCACTATTCCTACAGTGGGACAGAGGCCTCAACCCAAACATAAATACGTACTACACATGTCACCTTTCTGAGGTTTTACAGTTAGAAATTAGTTTAATTTTTTGTCCTCCAGCAGAGAATATGATTTGTTTATCAGTACTAGAAATACAGGGTTATTATGAGAAATTCATGGTCATGGTTATCAAGAAACCATGTAGAGAAGTGAGGTGTAGACATGGCTTGTTCTTCTTTCAAAGTACAGTACTTCCAGCCCTCCTAAAATTCAAACCTAGTCCAGGAATTGCACACAATATTGTCTGACTCCGAGTGGGAATCACAGTATGGATCCTCACAGAGGCCCATGCTGATCCCTGTCTTCTTCTGTGGGCCCCAGTGCCCAGGTGTCCTGCACGCCCTGCAACGCGGCGCTGGAAGCACAGTCCACGCATGGCAGGTGAGTCAATGGTGTCCTAGCTGTGTTGCCTGTGGGGCATCACACCTTTAATTCCAACTCCTTTTCTTGGTTTCCAGTTAAAAGCCTAGAGTTGTCAGTTCTTCCAGGCAGAAACTCAGCTTTTACTCAAATAAGTAATTTTGCATAAAGATTTTAAACTGGAAACATTTACTGTAGATCAAAAGTTTGATTTTTCAACTAGATGTATACAAGCCAAGGGCCAGCAAAACTTAGGTTAGTCCAAGTGCAGCGTGTCCCCTCTGCACCCCTGAGCAATCCACCTTTTTCTGCTTTACTAGAGTATTCTAAATTGTTACATTGGCCTAAGAAATTGAAATTAATGCCTTGGTTTTATTTACTTTTTAAAGAATTGTTGCCTAATTGAGGCTTCTGAAGTAACATTTTAGTCCTTATTTCTGTGTGCATTGTGAAGTTTCAGCTCCCATAGGAATCATTCATAGTTAAAGTATAAAAGAAGCAAATGCCAGGGAAAATGAGAGCGGAACTGCCCTTCGGAAAGTGAGACAACAAAACTCAGACACGCAGCAAAAGCTTAAGCTGTGCAGAGAGCTTCAGGTAGCTGTTTTGTAACCTGCATAGCCAGCTGGATGCAGTTGCACAAGCAACTAAGTGCAACTAAGTTGAACCAAGTTAAACAGGGAGGGCCTCTGCTGTGTCTGATTGAACAAGGTCTGCACTTATTTGCTTTTGGTTTGCATAGAAACAAATGGCCCAGAGGCATCTTTGCAGAGGAGATACTGGCTCTGCCCCTCCTGCTGCCACCAGCCAGTAGGGCCCTTGCTGAGCCCTTGGGCACATGCCAGGGGTCCCTGCCCATCACTGGGCTGTTACTGCACATCCCCTTTGCTGTCAGGGAAAAGACATGTCCTGGGCCATCACCCCTCC